AAACAAAAGCAATTCATAACAGTGATGCCAAAGAATGACAACATTACACATACTTTACAATCCCTGTGTTTTTCAGATTCTATGCAAGAATCATAATGCACAATCATTAATGTGTCTAGACAGTGGACACTTACTACAGTGTGGCCATATTACACTAAGCTTAATTTTTAAGTGGCCTAGGTATTTTATAAAATTAAATTGTAATAATGTAAAATGAGAGCAGTAGGAAAATAAGTACAATCATAGTAGGATATGGCACAAATCCAGTAAGTCCTGTTTAACTCAAAAATATTCTTTTCCTCAATAGCAATAAAAACTACCACAATTATAATACCAATAAGCAACCTCAAAGGTTTCATTAATGGGGGAAAAAAATAACTATATGCCTCCTTGCAATACTTTAAAACCACAAGGTTAACAATCATTTCCAGTGAAATGGTGATGTGAATTGTGTTTCATTTGTATTCCAGACGTTGGCAAAAGTTAATGACCTGCCCTGGAAATTATTTCACATACCCCAAAAGTATTCTTAGGACTCATGCAGCCTAAAGCTCACACTGCCCTTGATATGCTATTGGATAAATGCCTTAAATTTTAAAACAAAAGGATAAAGACTTTTAAAAAGCTCTAGACAATATACTGAAATGGTGATGTCAAGTCAATGTATTCTCCTACCCCAGGAAAACAAAAAAACAAAAAAACTGGTATGGCACAACGATAAAATAGGAACAAAAAGTAGTATTCCACTCATTCAGCAAGGAAATAATACACAGCATCTCTCTATCATATTCAACTACAAAAATCCTTTCACTTGATGGCTAGCATCTTTATGACTGCTTAGTCCGTATTTAAGTGGCCTTAAAAAGAGATTTTGTGTTCTTTCTCTGCCCTCATGTATCTTTGGCAGCAGTCAGCACTTAATGCCCAGAGCTGGTTTCGAGGGGAGGGAGAAAAGGGAAAGTGAGGAGAAGGCTGAACTGAGCACAGAGTCAGCAGAGAGCAGCTGCTCTCATACAGTACCCAGCATCTTTCTCACACACGGCTATTTTCCGCTATTGAGCACTGTCAGCAAAAATAAACAAGGAGGCAGGGGGCAAGGAGACACCGAGGATAGGACCCAGGCCGACAGTTTTTGTCTGTCACATCTGAGCCAGAAGCCTCCTCTGGTTTCCTGCTGTAAAGGCAAAGGATCAGGTGAGACCCCTCCGGGTCTAACTCAATTTGCTTCTCCACAAAGAGCAGTTTCCGGCGATGAGCGCAGGATCCTCCTGGCTGATGAACTAAACACGGGAGCATAGTCAATGTTTTCAATCTCTGACTTTCTCATAAAGGAGGAGAGAGGGCTGTGACTGCATTCCCGGGAAAGACTACTACTCCTGACGTGCACACAGCAGTAGTGAAGGAACAGGAGCAAGAGGTAAAAATCCCTTCAAAAATACCAGGTTCTGAAAGAAACGCTGTGCAGCATTACCGTATCGTTGGCGTTTTTTTAAGTCGCCGATTCTTCCACTGCCAAGCCCCAAATCGCTGGGACTTGTTGCTAAATCTTTACCTCACACCCCCCAGAACCGCCCAACACAATAAGATTTGGGGATCGAAAGCCGGGAGGGCCTAAACCTCTAAAGCCCAGAGGGTTGGGCTCCCTTCAATAGGCCACTCTGCATGGGCTGCATTCAGTTCTACCTTCCGAAAGCTCTGACTCACAAATGCTTGGGGGGCGGGGGGGGGGGGGTGGAATTATGACATAAACCATTATCCTTCCAACCAAAGAAAGATAAGAAAAGCCAGCCATACGTCCTTGCCTGGCCAGAGAGCCAAAGCCTGCGCCCCCGACGGGGCGGCCGGGCTACGAGCCTACCGCCCTGCCCGCCTCCCTCTGGGCGCCCGGGAAAGGTGCACCCTACCCGGGCGGGCTCGAGGAGCCAGGACGGGGCGCCCTCACCCCGGGAGGGCAGGGGAGGACTTGGGGGTGTGGGACACGGAGACTCGCCCCGTGGCGGCGGTGACACACCGGGTGCCAGGGCTCCGGCAGGGGCTCCAGTGAAGGTACCCTGCACTGGGGCGGTCCGCCGCAACCAGGAACGGACAAAGCACGGCGCTGGGGCGACCCCCGGGCGGCGGCTGCCGACCGCCAAGTTAACCGGACTCGGGGCATGAGGGGGTTCCGCGGGCGGGGCGGGGCGGCGCGGCGCTGACCTGGATGGTGCAGGTGTACTCGCTGTCGTCCAGCAGCCTCACAGTGCAGCTGTACTCGCGCTCCAAGCTCCTGCTGCTGCCGCTCATCAACCTGCTCAGCATCTTCCCGCCCGCCCGCCCGCCCGGGAGCGACGCGGCGGCGCTGCGGACCCTGAACCAGGCGTCCCTCAGCCCGGCAGCTCCGCGCCGACCCCGGGCACTTGCACCATCACCCCGGCCCCGTCGCTGTCGCTGCCTCCCGCTGGCCTCGTTCCTCCTCCTTAGCCTCCTCCTTTGCCTCAGCCGCCACCGCCTCCCCCCAGCCCAGATCAAACGCTGGGCTCTGTTTCCTCGGCGCCCCACTGCCAGTGCCCAGCTCGCGGGGCGGGGCCTTAACCTGAGGGAGCCAATGGGAATCAGCGCGGCGGAACCGAGTGGCAGACCGAAGAGCCAATAGAGATAGGACACTGGGATGATGGGCGGAGTAAAGAAGCAATCACAGAAAAGCAGTCGGATCTAGTCAAGCCGGACCAGCCCTCTAGCGTCCCAAACGAGGGGCTCCTGTCCTCCCCGTGGTTCCTATGGATGCTGTTTCCCCTCCCCCGGGCCAGGTGTGAGCACCTAACTGGATTGATGCCTGCCACCTGAAATACACTTGAGCTGTGTTTCCGGAGCTAAGCCCCGCACCCTGCAACACCGCGGTTCCCGCCCTCTTGGGAGCCGGAGCGGGGAGGCTGCGGGTGCTGGATCACAGTCCCTGCACCTGCAGAATGCGGGTACCTCTCGCTCCAGATCAGGCGACTGCCCCCACCTGTGCTGTATCCTAAGTTGCACCGTCTGGCCTCTGCTCCAACCCTCTTATTTTGGGGAAGAAGAACTACTTAAATAAAAGCTAAAGAGACCTCAGAGGTTCTGAAGTACCCGGGTTTAATCCCCCAAAAAACTCTCCACTCTAACACCCTTTGCCTCCTTCTTTTTATTTTAGCAGACAAAAGAAGACTGCTCCTTCAGCTGGTAGGGAGCAGAGGAAGCATGAATCTTCTCCTTTCACTTTTAGAGCTGGAATTATGTCTTCAGATTTTCCCAAAAAAACACGAAAGTATGCCAGGAGCTATACATCACAAGGAATTGTCTCCTTCTCTTTGTCACCCCAAATCTACAGACTTCAAGTTTTTTACCAAAAACTTCACTAAGAAACATAATATTCTCTCTCAAAGGTTCTTGATGGGAGGAAACGTTATAAAATAATAGTGTCAGCCCGGTGCAGTTGCTCACGCCTGTAATCCCAACACTTTGGAAGGCCAGGGCGGCGGATCACCTAAGGTCAGGAGTTCAAGACCAGCCTGGCCAACATGGTGAAACTGCCGTCTCTACTAAAAATACAAAAAATTAGCCAGGTGTGGTGACAGATGCCTGTAATCCCAGCTACTTGGGAGGCTGAGACAGGAGAATCGCTTGAACCCAGGAAGCAAAGGTTGCAATAAGCCAAGGTAGTGGCCATTGCACTCCAGCCTGGGGGACAAGAGCAAGACTCTGTCTCAAAAAATAAATACATAAACAGGGCCGGGCGCGGTGGCTCACGCCTGTAATCCCAGCACTTTTGGGAGGCTGAGGCGGGAAGACCACGAGGTCAAGAGATTGAGACCATCCTGGCCAACATGGTGAAACCCCTTCTCTACTAAAAAAAAAAAAATACAAAAATTAGCTGGGCTTGGTGAGTCCCAGCTACTGGGGAGGCTGAGGCAGGAAAATCGCTTGAACCCGGGAGGCCGAGGTTGCAGTGAGCCGAGATCGCACCACTGCACTCCAGTCTGGGCAACAAGAGCAAAACTCCTTCTCAAAAATAAATAAATAAATAATCGTGTCTACATAGAACATTAATGTAATAAATATATTAGTTTAAAATAATAAAATAGGCATAATTTTCTATTATTTTCATTTACACTGTTCTTGTGTATAGGTATAACATATAACAAAAAGGAAGCTCTACATTAGCCTAGAAAACTAGTGTCTTCGGATTCCAATACTTTTCCCAATTTTTTTTTTTGTATGAGGAGACTCATTCTCATTCATTCTCTCTCTTTCTCTCTCCCTTTATCTATCTCTTCCTCCACCTCTTCCTCTTCCTCTTCCTTTTCATTACCATACTAACCTGGACTGCTCTTACTGGTTTCATTCTCCTTTGTGGCATTTAATAGCCAGAGAAGCACGTTTCCCTTTTCAATGTAATTCTGGTGGAGTTAGTTATGATTCTAGAAACAGTAAGTCAAGTGTTGCAGGCATAAAATCAGGCATGGGCTCCACTACTTTGTAGCTGAAGCAGACAGTCTGATGCCTGAAACATAATAGATATTCAATAAATGTTGAACTGAAGTAAATGGAATTCATGGATATTCTACAGTGTTTAAATCCCAGAGGAAGAAGCCCTGTGAAGAAATTCAAAATTTCAGGAAGATCCTGGAAACAAGTAAAATTATTAATATGCCAATGTGATAGTCTACAAAACTCAGCTTTGTTATATACCTGGAAGAAGATAATGAAATGTTTCAAGCCTGGCTCGGTAGCTCACGCCCGTAGCCCCATCTACTCGGGAGGGTGAGGCAGGAGATTTGCTTGAATCCAGGAAGGAAAGGCTGCAATGTTGCAGTGAGCCAAGTTGGGGCCACTGCACTCCAGCCTGGGTGACAAAGCAAGACTCTATCTCAAAAAAAAAAAAAATATATATATATATATATATATATATGTCCAAACAAGAACAGCTTGTCGAAGGCAAAAGTTACTGTTTGTTATAGAATCAACAAGAGCAAGAAAAAATGTCCAAGCTAGAGGAAGCCCAATAGTGTAATGGTAGGAAAGTGTGTTTAACATGTTATGCAAATAAGCAGCTGTTAGAATAAAAAGGCAAAGCACTATTAATCCAGAAAAGCTCTAAGAAACTGAATGCAGTCTTTTTTCAAAGTATGGCCATAGATGCAATCAATAGGGGTGAGATTGTGTCTGCTATGCCAATGTGTTAGGTAGCATCCTTGCTCAATCTGAGAAAATCATATCTACGGCTCAGTGCAGCAGCTCATGCCTGTAATCCCAACACTTTGGGAGGCCAAGGCAGGCAGATCGCTTGAGCTCAGGAGTTCAAGACTCACAAAGGCAACAAGGTGAAACCCTGTAGCAATGAAAATAATAATAATAATACAAAGATTAGCTGGGTGTAATGGCACACACCTGTAGTGCCAGCTAGCGGAAAGGCTGAGGTGGGAGAATTGCTTGAGCCTATTCGGGGGAGAAACTTGCCATGAGCCAAGATCACATCACTGCACTATAGCCTGTGCTAAAGAGACAGATCCTGCCTCAAAAAAAAAAAAAAATTGTAATAAAAAAATGGCGTATCTGCTTAGATGCTCACCTTACTGAAAGACCAGTTAGATATTCATTTCATGCTTAGGTATAATACTCAGAGAGAACTTCAAACTCTCCCTTCTTTCTCTAATACAAAATACTTTGTGAGGAAAACAGAGAATGAAAAAATAATGGAAGAAACGAAAGGATCTAGATGTATGCCTCCACAACAAAGCTCATGAGAAGAAGCCCAAGAGGAACTAGAAAGGAAGGGCTTATATAAAACCAATCTGAACTTTTGGAGACTAGGCAGAAGAATCAATTGAGCCAGGAGCTATGATTGCACCACTGCACACCAGCCTGGACGACAGAGCAAGACCTTGTCTCTAAATAAAATAAAATAAAAAGTAAAACCAAACCGAGGAATGTTTTGTTTGTCTTTGTTTTTGTCAAATCTATTAAGCAGGATGCCAAGGATGGAAAGGGTTTGTTTAATAAAAGGCCTCATTTGTCCTTGAGAACCAGGGTGCCATAGCTTTCATGTGTCTTTGAGTATAAAGGAGGCCATATTTTAAAAAAACGCAGTCCAAATTATAATGGCTCTGGACCCCCACCTCCCAAATTATCAGAATATCAGCCCTCTTGAATTTCTTTCCTGTCTCTACTATGAGGGAGTCCTCAGAGGAGGTACTATCTCCCACATATGCCTAAAATAACTGAACAAAGCATTCATCAGTTTGATTTGTGTCTCTGCTTCAGATGTTCTATAACCTGCTGTTCTGGGACACTCATCTTTCTCTTTAGCCAATGCAACCTTCACCATTGCTTTGTGTTTTGGCAGGAAGGGGCACTGCCTCACCAGGACATGACAAACGCAGGCCCTTCCCATCAAAGTTTCCCTCAACACAGCTAAGACCAGCCTGTAACTCCTAACAATATTTAGAAAAAAAGAATAATCCAAAGTATAACCTGCAAGTATGATATGGCTACTCTCAAAGCCTCATGGACTATGAATTAGATACAGGCCTGGCCTTACTGTCAGGCTTCCATTCTGGTTCATGTGACAGAAGACAACTTCCCCTCTCCAGCAAGAGTTTCCCTAACTATGTCTTAGGCATTTACTTCCAATCACTGTGAAAAAAACAACTCTCCTCACCCAGGTTAGGGTCCACTTTCCAAGTCCCATTTTCTGTCCCAGGTGCTACCTCTTCGTAGGATGACTGACCATGGAAATATCGACTTTTCTGGAGGAAACCCCAACCTGCATGCACGAGGGTATGACCTTGACCTCTGAGCCAACAGGGCCATCATATCAGAACACAATAGTCAACATCAGCACATTTCTCACAAAGATTAAATTATTCATTCTTTACATGTGGGTTAAGGTAAAGCCTTGTTAAAGCCAGTCCAGTCCCTTTATATATAATTATTTCTCCAGTAAGCAGTGGAAATCATGCCTGTCTTTGCTTTCCAATATTTATTAGGTCACAGCTTCTGCTCTCCAAAGAGCAGGGGCTCAAAAGGAGATTCACATCTCCACAGAAATAACAATGTATTGACACATATATGCTCTAAATCCACAAAGAAGAAAGAAACAGATTTTCTGTTCTCTCTTACATCAATGTCTGCAGAAGCAGTACTTCTGCTCCACACACAAAGATTTGCATATTCAAATGGAGCACTCTGCTTCTCAGTGTAAAGCATTTATATTCAGGTTAATGATTGCTTTATAGTTTTCTAAGAGTAATACATGTCTACTTGATTGAATATGAGTAATTAAACAATTCATGTAGTTTTCCCAGAGTACTCGGCCCTTGAAGAAATGCTCTAGTTTTCCTTTCCATCAGGACAGAAAAGCACATACAGTTTGAGAGACAATTTTTCTACCTAACCTTAGGACTTTCGGCTAGCTCCTATTAGATGTAGAAGAGGTATTTGATGTTTGGAAATATAAGCAGTACAAGTGCTTTTTAAAATGCCAAACTACAAACATTTACTGAGCATTTACTACGTGTTAGGCACTGTAACAACATTCTA